TAAATAATAACATCGGTGCTCGGAAAAAAAAAAACGCTTTTCAATCATTTAGTTTGAATGATTTCACTTAAATATTCTCTTTTTAATTAAAACACCTGTCCTTAACATTTTTATTCACTTTGTAGTTGTTTATTTTTTTAATATGGTCCTTCATATCTAAGAATATGGCAGATCCTATGATTTCCTCACTTTTTTTTTTCTTTCTGAAAGGTGTTTTTTTTTCAAGATTGGGAAATGAAACAAGTCAAAGGTTGAAAGATCTGGCGAATACTGTAGGTGTGAGAAAATATAAACTTTTTGTTTATCCCCCAAACTCCTTTACTCTCTATGGCCTGTTTATTTGGACGCTGTCAGGAAGAAAATAAATGTAGTGGTTTTCTGATTCTGGTTCCTTCCTCTCGTCAACCTTTCAACTTTTTGCAAAAAAAAAAAAATGCTTTCTAGTATAGACTTTTCCAGGAATTCAACTTTTTCATCAACTTTCCCCACTCATCACGTTTATCAAATAGCTTGGTTGTTAGATTACCATTAACGTCTTTTTCATGTTAAATATCCAAGTATGAAACAGATGTGTCAGACTCTGTGATATCTTTTATCTCAAGCTCATCAGGATATATCGTATCGACGTAGGAGTGGAAATTACCTTGTTAATTGACAAGACGTCGTCGATATATTTAAATGTGGAGTTAAATGCCTTAGCAAGTGTTTTTATTTTTTATCGCATAAGATTTTGCACAAATTCTGCTTCATATGAATATAAAAGTAGGTCTCCTAATAACGGAGCGCAATTATTACCCATGGGAATTCTAATAGATTGTTGGAATACCTGGTCTCCAAAAAACACATAGATATTGTCAGTCACAAACTTAGGTATCTTTTTGGTGTCAACTTCAGAGTACTTGTGTGTGCAATCCGAATGTCTTTTTCAAAATAATTTTGCATATGACAAGTGACCAGGTAAGTAAATTTAACGAGTTCTTTTTTTATTGAAAAAGCAGCTGTCAATAATATCAAAAAGTTTGGACTTTATTTATCGTGGGGAATGGTTGTGTATGAAGTTGAAAAGTCGTAAGTTTTTAAGCTGTTGATTTTGGTAAAATTGTCCAAAAGTTCATTGGAATTCTTGAGAATCCACATCTGATTCACACCACTTCTGAATATATTGTTGCAGAGTATTCTTGAAGTTTTTCTTCCACTACTGTCAATATCTTAGTAAGCAGTAACAAAAGAGGATTGGTTGAACATTTACTGGACCCCCGTAAGGATTTTTATGAAGTTTCGGAATCCAATATATAGGGTAGGGTGATTCAAATTCATTTTCGCTCTGTGGAATATCAAAAATATTTAGAACTTACATATGATTTTGAAGAATGCCTTCCTTAGAAAGGGAAGTATGAGTATAAATTGGATTACCACTTGTAGAATTAAATCCAAGTTCTAAAATACAATTTATATAATGAGCCTTACAAACGAAGAGTTGTTACCTGCTTTGTCGGCAGGGACCACTACGTACTGATCATGTAATTAAACTATCCAATTCTTTTTTCACTTCTGGATTATTGAATACAAAAGAATATTTACATTCGCTGTGTTTTTCTAGTAAGCTTACAGTTAAATTGATTTGAAAAACATTTTCGTGTATACTCACGCGTAGAGATATACACGGAGAAACGTGCGTTTACGTGACGTCACAATGAGACTGCAGCGACGTTAGTGAAATGCAATAATATAGGACAGCGAGAAATTCAAATATTGAGTATATTTTAGTTGCCTCCAAACAGATAAAATGTAAATATAAGGAATGTTTTTTAGTTTAGTGTGAATTATTGGTGTGTGAATCACACAGACTTGCACATAGGCATATTTTTCATGAAGAGCGCTTCATGAAATATGCCTACGTGACAAGTCTGTGTGATTCACACACCAATAACTCACACAAAACTGAAAAACATTCCTTAAATAGATGGCTTTCATATTCCCCCTCAATCTTTTAATCGCGTATTGAGCTTTCCTACTGTCAAATGTCTCTTTAAAACATGATGGACAATCCCAAAATGATGCCTATTAAATTTGCTTTTATGTGTCTGAAAGTGAATCAATCAAAATCAATGATAATTTGTTGAGTTTTTGCAAACAGTACCTTGGTTTTTGTAAGTCCTTGTCGCCAAGGACAGAGACCATTTTTTATGCTAATTATATAATTTTTGTTCCTTTAAATCAAACTGCTCAGGTGTGTATAATACACGATTGCGTCACGTGTGTCTGGTAAACTATATGCAATGATTTTTTTTTAAAAATACAAGAAAAGCAGATTTTTTCTTTTCATTAGGGACAGTGATATAATGTAAATTTTTAGCCACATTTATATGCCCCAACAATTTTGATGTGATTTTTAGCTTTATATATTTCCTACCCTGTTTTTTCCCGGGAAATATCAGTATTTTCGGAAATTTTCAATATTGCGACTGCCCTGGAAAATATGATTAATTCACGTTTGTTGCTAACTCTGATCAGAGGATGGGGGTGGAAGTCACATGAATTTCCTTCACTGAAATGCACGGAAAAAGCTGTCAGGCAACAAGTGGACTTGTACAATAGAATGAAGAAAATTCTTTTTTTACCGTTGTTAATCGATTGTACATGTATACATGTCAATGTGAGCAGAGAATTAGTAGACAATGATGTGGATATTGTATAAAGTATTTAAATTGCTTGGTAAAGTGCATTATTTTTTCCCAAGAGCAATTTGGAAAAACGTGTTTTTAAAACGTACAGGGTGTTTCACAATATATGTCAGACATCTAAATCGGCATAATCTGAATATCGAGCACGATACCAAAAATACGAAAACACTGTTGAGAAGCATATTGATCTAAAATTATGATACTGCAAAGTAGCAGGATAAAAATAAGATACCATGAAGTAACTGATGATAAAATCAGTGATGTCATAATATCACCTGTTCCCAAAAATGGAGTGTAACTTGCAGCAAAAATTTGTTTTAAACTTTTATTATAAGAACGGTTTCCTAATTATTGTATAGGGTGTTATGATGAAAAATATCCAGACCAAAAATTGCTGTCTAGTTTTCATATATTTTATAGAATATTTAGATATTTTTAACTAAATTATAATGTGAAAATGAAAAACAGTTAAGGCCTCTCTCTCCCCCCCCCCCCCCCCCCCCCAACAACAAAAAAATCAAGAAGAGATAGAACAATATCAAAGTGAAGTCAATCATTGCGAAAACCTCACGAAAGTTAAATCTGAGTTTAGTGAAATGGATTGTACAATGCCAATTATTTAGAAATCTTAAATTTGAGTTAAGTGCGTCTGCATACAAGATTTCAGTATTTAAAGCAAATTGACGTTCAGAGCCCGTTAAAGTTTGCAAGATTGACTAAAAGGAAGAGCAAAAGAAGTGGACACTAATTAACACATACCGGTAGTTCTGAAACGACACATTTATTTAAATGCAGATTTAAATAAAAATAGATGTGCACTTTGTGGGTTCTAAAAAGCCCTATATAAAACAAGAAAAGTCTCAAGCATTCTGTGAAGCTTACAAAACAGTGGTCAGAAATTTCTAAGCATTAGCCTCTTAAGTTATTTAGGACAATTTTTGGAAAACACTTGGAGAATAACATTTAGGATTTACTGCCATAGTAACCAAAGAATGTTGGATACTTCTGACTCAAAATGATAATTTTGAATATCTGCCGATTAAATGATATATAAAATGTATATGTAGCTTTTATTGTCATTTATCTATCTGTCTTTAGATGTGTGACATATATTGTGAAACAACCTGTACATGTAGTATTTTATAACCAAGAATGCGACTCATGGCATGATTGCATGGTCGGTTTAATTGTCAGTCACGTTGATGCCTCAGTTAGGATGTTAATCTATTGTAATACACGTAACAGAAAATTGTTTCCTCGACTTGTTGAAGTTTAATTGAATGCAAATAAGTACATTTCCACAGATGGGGTGAAAAACTAAGAAGCAACATAATTTTTCTGTTTACCATATTTCCATGATTTTTTTCAATCGCCATCTTTCCTTCCTTATGCAGTAATTTACCTTTAACACATGCATGAGGTTTTAAATCTCTTAGTTGATTCGATCTGCAAGAACCCGCGCTCTGCGTATGAACAATTTCTACCGTGTTCTTCAACAAGGTATTGTAAGTTATTGACAAACAAGTAGATGAATAAGAATATCAACTAAACGTCTCTTAAAAGTCATAATTTCGTAAGCTTTATTGTAGATACAATGATCTTGTCAGCAATAAAAGTTATTATTACATGTACCTCAAAGTCAAATGCGGACTGCAATTTTCATATCAATTAAGAGGCCTGAATTGTCGACGGATTTTCCTATTATTTCCTGATTATGACAAGGAGCGCACGACAGGTGTGACCGGTCAGCATAATACATAAAAGTTTAATTGATGGAAACTATAAAATTGAAAGATTTCATTAATAAACTTCTTTGACTGTTTTAAGTTTCCATCGGGAGCTTGATGATTCTGGACATTCTCTCTTAATGAGTTACATGTCAAGTTTGCGTTTTATTTGTCTTCGGTGATTTCTGACATAATAACGGCTTTTTGAATTTTACAGGACATCACACTTGCAAGCAGGGCTGTTTTTGCAATACTCTCAGAATTGATGCTTGTTAAAATGAAATAAATTTTTTGGGTCAAGAGGATGGAAGCGTGTTTTTAAATGACACAATTCTTCCATTAATATGCAAATTGTATAATAAATCTAAAATATTCCTTTAATGTAGCTGAATCTTTACAGAGGGAAAGACTGACAAATGGAAGGATATATATACAAAGATGGATCAAAGAATGGATGGATGTAGAGAGCGATAAATGGATGGAGAGACTTATAACCAGATGAATAAGACTAAACAGTAAACACTCTACCAACCAGTCTTATTTATATCAGTCTAATACATACCTCGTATAATATGTAAGGGAAGAAATATTCATCTTTAATATCATTTTATTAATAGTAGCAACAATGTCATTATAAGTAATATATCCCAAACATGTCTACAATAAGACTCCTTCTTTTTTCCCCAAGTGCACTGAAAATTAAATTTACCTATGACATGTATGTAAACAGGTCAATGCATGTCTCTCACTAAAAGGAGAAAATCTAAATATCACCAAAAAAAAAATCAGAAATGTCAATTTAATGAACATTTCCGATTTTTTGTACAATGAATTATTTGAGGTTTTTCTTGTTGTATATTATAGTTAAAGAAACTTTTGAATGGTCTTCAAACAATACACTATTTTTTCCTCTTTTAATATATCATCCCAGGAAGAGTGACACTAGTATATTTCTTATGACCCAGACACAAAAACTATATCTTGAGGGAAAATCATGCAACTGTCAGAATTTACATTGGAAATAATTTCCAGAGTTCAAGAAAATTCAAGATTTTGGCAGTACCTCAATAAAATAATAAATAGCTAATATATACTCATTATTCTGAAGATCTTTGTTCCTAGTTTTATTTGCAGGTAAAATACATTTTGCAGAATAAAATTAATTGATTTATAACGATATTAACCTCCTTTATTGTATAATTCAGGTATATTCTGATAAATGTTACAGTTTACCGGCATTTTTAAAAAGAACGTCAAATAAATATTCTTAAAAATGTAGAAAAAATAGAATAATTGTACCCACATGTACTTAATACACAGTATATATTGTTCTCATGTGGTACGGAATGTAAAACCTTCAGGCAACTGAAACTATATGCTTACATGAGATATGTACATCTTTACTTATAACTTCCTATGATAAAAAAAGCTGACATTAAAAAAAAAACATACAAGACACCTTGTTATTGTTTTGCATATCAAATGGCATTATGAAGATTCTGCATATTGGAAGAAATGACTGAATAATATCCGTGTAGCAAAAAATTCTGCATACATTGAAAATGATTGAATGAAATTTGCATATGCCAAAAATGATTGGTTGAAATTTGCATAAGCCAAAAATGATTGGATGAAATTTGCATATGCAAAATATGATTGGATGACATCTGTATAACTAAGTTCTGGATTTTGAATACATTATACACTCAATCAGACATTAAATAATCCATGAAGAATGAAGTTCAGTGGTTTTAAAAGATGTAACAAATTGAAACCAAGACCAAATCTAATGGAATGTTTTGTTTTGTTTTGTTCTATTCTAAAATTTTCTACCTTTGTAGATAATCTTTGTAAAAAAAAATAAAATTCTACACAAAGCAATACAAGATTTTTCATTTTAACTGCCTTGTGCATTTCCAGACTCTTCAGAGTTTTCCAACTTCCAAAAATGATCGTGGAATAAGAAATCATTAATCACATTTGTCTTACACAACACAGAATTCACAGTCTATATGGCATACTGTCAGCAACCAAACTGTCCATCCATTTAAAATATAAAATTATCCCAGATAAAATCTTCTACAAAACAGAGGAATCATTCTTTACGTCAAACTTTTGCTGATCCCGTCTGTGAGAGGGACTGTACAGAACGTTTTCCCGCCATGGAGGGATAGATAGGGTCTCTGTAGGCAAAGATAGGGTCCCCGTACTGGGGGGCAGGGCCTGGGGGAGGATGGGGGTGGGGGTACTGTCTTAGCAGGGCAGGGGCACTCTCTGTGTCCTGCCAATGTTCCCTGGGGGTAAAAGGGCGAGGTGGAGGGAGTCTCCGGGAATAAAATTCATGTGTGTGCTGCTCAGATAAGTCACTGTTCTGTCTCTGATGAAAGTGATCAATGGCCTGTTGACGAGGAGGAATGTATTCGTTACTACGCTGTCGCTGATGGATAATGTTGTCATGGTAACTGTAGTTAGGGTGATAAGATGAGGGTTCCTGATAGGCTGGTCGGCTATGAGGTCTAAAGGGGGGAAAAAAGAGATTGTATAATTTTTTTCATTCACTCAACAACTGATTAATTTTAGTAAATCTAGCTTGTCAATGAAAAGTTATCTAAACAAGCACTACCCCCCTCTCTTCCAGTTATAAATACTTGCCTTTCAGGATAGGAATGTCCTGCATTCTGTGTTCTGTTACCCTGGTATCCATGGTAACTGTTGTCAGTGACAACAGAACTTGATGGATGCCTTGAATACAGAATGTTTTCTGGTATTGCACTGTTCCCATATCGCTACAATAAAAATCAAGACCAGATTTTAGAAATGTATAACTTTAGGAAGACTGACGGAAAAATGAAAACTCCTTTTCTTCTACTAATTTTTATTTTCTTTACAAATTTGTATAAAATACCATTATTTTTTATTTAAAAAAAGATCTTACACTCAATCACAAAATTATAATAATCAACAAATGCAATGGTTTGATATTTTTAAGTACAATTCTTCACAGTTCTTGATTTAATTTTGGTACTAGGCATAATTATATTACATATAAACATAACTTTTTCTGAATTTATATGGATATAAAACATGTAATTATAATCTTGTTTTATAATTAGATTATCATATTGTGATATATGTTTATGAAAATAGATTACATGTACATAGTCATTGAAATAAATAGAATTTGTTATGTATGTTTTAGTGATATAAATATGGATATATACGTAATATATAATTATATAAGGCAGAAATAATCTGTATGGGATGAAAGCAGGGTAATTAAGTCATATATGGTAGAGTTAATGCTACTATACATCATACATCTGCCTATACAGGGCATAGCCAGGGTACTTTTGATGTGGACGTCTGAAAAGGCAGGGGTGGGGGCCGCCTTATGGGCCTAATGGGTCCTGGACAAAGCCCTGGTGAGGGCCAGGAGGCGAAGCCCCTGGAAGCTGGTAAATTTTTTATGATTCCGATGTGCATATTTGAGCAATTTTACACTTTTTCATGTGTAATTGATTGTACAAAATGTTAAATATAATTTGTTTGATGAACGGATAAAACAATTTTAGACCTTCGAATCGACAAAATACGTAATATGGTATATATTGGTTAGAGTGGTTGACTGGTTTCAGTTACATTAATGTTAAAAATATACCTCTAAAGATTGAAAATAACAAGGACAAAATTCTTTTCAATTCATTTTCTTGCAGATTACATACATGTATGTATATTGTATACATTTTAAAATGAATGTTCAAAAGTTTTCACAATTCAGGTATCTAACTTTTTGCAACAATAATAAAAGCATGTACAAATACTATTGGTCTTAAGGTAGTTTTACATATATTTTTTAAGGCTGAATTTTGATTTTTGAAGTCTCGCATGAATCCGATATTAGGAGATAATTATTTTTTTAGGGGGGGGGGTATCGTTACAGAAGGATGGAAGTTCATTTCCAGTAATAGAAATTGAAATTCTTTGCATCAAATAAAATCATCGTTTGTTTTAAGAACACTTTTCTATTTTATTTTATATTTGAAAATTGAATAAAACATATCCTACGCGTATAACTAAATCTGTTTCACTGAGAATTCTGACCTTTATTTTCATTTTTCTACCTGATTCTTTAAATTAATTAACCAGACACATAAAAAAAGAAATATAGGATTTTTTTTTTCTAGTTTCCATGTTCCTTGCATTGTACAATCCAATATCCTGTCTACCATGTATATCAGTGAAAGTAAGACAGACAGGTTTCTCATATGAAACATATACTTTTAATTTTAAGATTCACAACTTTACATTATTTGTAATTGATTGTAAGCTATAATAAATAGCCAATATACATGTATATATTATTTTGTACTATGTATCATGATTATTATCAAATACCTGAATTGCAATTAAAATTGTCACTGTTGATACTAATAAGATATAGATTCTAATGAATTCTAAAAACAATTTACAACATGATGTTGAACACTTTTGTTTAATAATTAAAATTGAATAAAACATATCCTATTTTCAAAATGTCATTATCAGAAACTTACTATCATATTAATGTCACTTTCTATACTCTCTTCTTTATTCATAATTTACATTTTTCTATTGAAGTTAAATCTATGATGTATTTCACAGTGATTAAAAAGCAATAAATGGAGGGAAAAAAGTCACTTCATTCTTTTGACATCAACAAAAATTATGAAACAGTTTATGTCTGATCAGAGTCTTCTGAAGCTTTTTTTCTACCAATTCAGACATCTGTCTTTATCAAAATAAACGAATAAAACCATGTGATAGCTGTTTACACACAATGATCATGAAATGCTCTCCCATCCCAATCAGTGCAACAACAACTATTTGATAGCTGATTGTTAGAACTCTTATTTTGCCAAAAGCCCCCCCCCCCCCCCCCCCCCCCCCCCCAGCCAATTTTTTTCCTTAAAATTTGAATATCCATCTTTAAGCAATTTTTAAAAGTGGATAGGGTACACCATCAGTATTATCAATACAGTGAAGTTTCCATGTATTTGAAATTCCTTGTTATGAAACTAGAAAACGAAGTTGTCAAATCACATAAGGCCCATTAAATACAAGATGTATTACCCCTTTTCATCCCTTATTCTTTACAAAGAATGAAGTAGACCTTTGTGTTGGGTTACAGTAAAGCCGTCTAACCTGGTTAGCGCCGTGCCACGGCTGCCCTACCCTAGTCTCCTCCTCCTGAATCTCCTGTTCGTATCGCTCCTCCGAGTCGTCCAGCGGGTAATGTCCCTCCCTCTCCTGATGTCGGCGCTGGTGTTCTCTCCTCAGATGCTGGATCCACTGGGCGCGCGACCAGGACTCCGGGTCCTCCGCGGACCTTCCCGACGGAGGACCAGCCGTGAACTGGTTATCGGTAATCCGTGACAGATGGTCGGTTGGATGAGGTGAGTTATTGGTGAACCGTGACGAGTGGTCTGCTTTGTGGGTTGGGGTGAGTCTAGAGAATTTGTCCTGTAGTTGGGGGGAGTTACGTGACAGCCGCGGGGTGTGGTTGTCGGAGTATCTTTGTTCGAGTCTCAGGAATTCCGCATTGCTCTGCTGGTCTTGTAATTGTCGGACCTGTTCCTGAATTCTGCAGAAATCAAATGTTAAATAATTGAAGTTAAATTAATACCTTTAATTCATTTCTATCAACTATTAAAAATGCTTCCAATGAAACTGGTAAGGTCATAGAAACAACCTGAACTTTGAACCAATTTTTGTATACAATATTCTTAAAATGTACTTAATGACACTTTAAAGAATATGGTTCTGAATCAGAGAAAATGAGATTAATTTTTTTTAATTTTATAATAAACTATTTCTGATTTTTTTTAATTTGCTTTGGTGGTTTGCAGAATAATTTTTCTGAATAAATGTGCATTAGACTGAGGAGACTATTTTTATTACAATCCAGCAGTATGGGTAGGATGGTCATTGGGAAAGAAGTGTTGGGTGATTGGAGGGGTTTATAAATAAGGACAGCAGTGACAGGAAAATGTGAGCCTGAACACAACGGTCCTAGCTATAGCAAGGACGTAGATATCAAGGGAAGGGTAAAGTGTTCTTCATAGCAATTCTCAAGACAGTCACTATCAATCTGAATTACATCATGCTTAAATTGGCTTTCTGGTTTTGGTAAATTTAAAACACTGGACATTGACAAACATACATACAGAAAAACCAGCTGTCTTATTTCATCAGACTGAATATAGTTTACTATTGCCTCATGTGAATGTTCACATGAAAAGTTTGGTTCAAGAAAGTTATAACTTCAAACAGTGCACCTCAACATGTGTTTCTGAATCAATAGATACCAACACTTCACTCCAGTGTTTAATCATGTGTGAGTTAAGTTGAACAATTTCCTTGTCAAGTGCAGATCATGCCTTCCTTTCTGATTGATGAAAACTGTGAGAACGTTTACCTTTCATATTCAGTTTCCTCAAACAACTCCTTAAAACTGAAATCAGTTTTATGAGAAGAAAATTTCAGATCACATACAAAGTTTACTCTCATAAATGTTTGAAAGAAAAAAAATCTAGATCTACATCTTCATGGTCAGTAACTTTTCAGAACCCAAGTGCATCTGTTTTCCCTCAATGTTTTTTTTTTTTTTTCAACATCAAATTAGGAAGAAAATTATGATTATGCAAAAATATTTTATATCTGTATTTCAATCCAATTTTTTAACTTTTAACCTAAGCTCAAACACCCCTGACAATCCATTCCATTTTATCATTTACCTGTATTCTCACCTCAATCTCTATCCAATTCCTAACCTTGTATAAACACCCCTGTCCCTCCACCCCATTTCTGTCTATAATTTACCTGTCTTCTCTATTTAAATCTCTATCCAATATTCCTCTAACCCTAGTATAAACACCACTGTCCATCCACCCCATTTCTGTTTATAATTTACATGTCTTCTCTATCTAAATCTCTATCCAATTTTTCTAACCCTAGTATGAACAACCCTGTCCATCCGCCCCATTTCTGTCTGTAATTTATCTGTTTTCTCTATCTAATCTCTATCCAATTCTTCTAACCCTAGTAAAAACACCACTGTCCATTCACCCCATTTCTATCTTAGTCTATAATTTACCAGTCTTCTCTATCTAAATCTTCAACTAATTCTTCTAACCCTAGTAAATACACCCCTGTAGATCCACCCCCATTTCTACAGCTTACCTGTCTTCCCTGGAGTCTGCTGACTTTGACCTTTCCTCTGACCCAATCTGTCTGTCTGTTTCTTCCTGTGCTTTTGCTTCTTCTTTTTTACTTTTGTTGCTCCTCCTACAGTAAATTCTTTCAGTATCATAAAATTCCCTAAAACTTCATGTCATATATGATAAAATCCTGTCCCAGTTTCCTGAAGGATTTATTCCTCATCTTTATTATTGGATTACTAGTATGCCTTAAAGTTTAGATATTTTTAATCAGATATCCGCATGGGTCCCCATTTCATACCTCAGTTAACATTTAAATATCCTCCATAGGCCCCCATTCCATACCTGAGTAACCCTTTAAATATTCCCCCTGGTCCTTTCTTTTCCTTGGCGGGTTTCTTCTTGGCTTTTCTGGGGTCCTCTGGCTCGCTGCTCATGGAGGAATGTCCCGAGGTCGTGACCCCTCCCTGTGTGACCGATCCTCCCTCACTGCTCTCCTCCTCCACTGTAACCATAGCAACAAATCAGGGTTACCAAGGAAGTACAGATTTGTATCTAGAGAAACATGAGTGTTTCGAAACAGGCAAATCCACATTGCCAAAGGTTAAACATATCAATGTTTTGTCATACAAATTATTAATTCTATTTTAATTTTAATGTAGGAGATGTGCATTGTGAAATATGTATGAATATTTTCTAAACACTTTATTGAATTTTTCACTATTTTGCAAAGGGTTTGACAAACTTCTCTTTTTAAAAACATCAGGTTAAACTTTGCAGATTATATATACATGTACATAATTTTTCCAGAAAACAAATATGGTACAATTTGTCATGTAAAAATTGATATAAATCGTGATTGCAGATGCTTGAGTTTTTTTCCAGTGTACATGCAGTTTAACATCTGGATTATTGATAAACAAAAATGTTCATTCCAATATATATGATACATTTGCACTACAAGTCTGTTGCTGTGTCAAAAATATAACTTGGCAAAACTTGAATAAAATTTTAAAATCACATCAACCTAGATATATCATGAAATCTTACATTATTTATTTAGATTCTGCTGCTACTGCTTTGAAAATGTCTCCTTATAAAGTGCATTATAAGCAAGATTACTAAAGCAAAATTAAGTGTGATGAAACTCCCCTAAAATTTTATTACATGCACACACTTGATCTAATATTTACAAGTACTGTTACATTGTAAAACTAATAAATTTATTTCATTAGGCCTAAATTTTTCATGAACAACTGTAGATATATATTTTTCTTCCTTGGATTTATTATTATAAATTAATCCTAGAAATCTGATTAATTTTCTATCGTGAATTGAACGTAATTTGTGACCCCATGAAAATTGAAAGTTTAAAACATTAATTCTAATATGTAAAATTGATAATTCATTAGGTACAATGACTTTCTAATAATAGACTCTTTTCACTGAGAAAACATCAGGTCAGGTCTACAAGTATCTAATATGTTAAAAGACTATTCACTCAATGTGTTTCGAGGTATAAGTCTATACACATGTAGATTTCTATTCAAACTGTGTCTACTCACCAAGTTAAAAAAAAAAAAACATCTCTTTAAAACATCTTAGGATCATATTGAATTGCTTTTTTTTTTTAATTCTATAATCAAATATCAAATATTGTTACTTGCATGCATATATTTATATTTTTGATTTTTATACAAACATTACAGAAGATATTATGGACATAATCGAGCTTAGAAACAAGTTTGAAATCAGAATAATGAACCAGACTCAAGGGGCACATGCATGGCAGTGCAGACAAATGAGAAACAAGACAGAAAAAAATTTACGAACTCCTGTAATGATACAATGTCAAAATCAATGACCATGACAACAACAGCAACAACACATGTGTCACAAAAGAGTACAATTATACAACAGCAATCTATAGAATTAAGTACACAAACAACAAGATGAACAGCTAAATGTAACAGCTAAAAGACATCTACGCACAAATGAGTTACTAAAACAAAACTGAAAATGAGACAGTCACTGAAAATTAATCTATGAAATAGACAACATTGAACAGACAACAAAAACATAATGAGTCACTAAAACAGAACTGAAAACAAACAGACAGCACCTAAAGCATGTATGTATACATGTACAACAACAGACAAGAACAACACAGGTTTGGACAAATTAAATCTTAGGATGTAAACAAAGTTTAACAACAACAATGAAAACTAAATAAAGGGCATATGTATAAACTACATTGAAAGACACAACAAAGACCAAACATAAGTGATAAATGACTTCTAACAGCCGAGTACATTGCAGACACAACCAAAAATACACATATGTGAGCACTGTCTACAAAACTTGAACAACAATAAGGCATGCAATATCAAGCAGTGACTCTGATGAGACTGCAGCTCTACTGGTTGTTTTAATTTAAAGACATTGTTTCAGATTATATTATTTTACACAATTACATGTGTGTATCCTGCTGTTAACAAAAACTCCTCAATTTTTTCCCAGCTGCTATTAGAGAGGGGGAAGGGGGTGCAAGTCAAATCAAACTGTCGATTTATAAAGAATTACATGTATTAGTTTTATAAATAATTTTGAAAGTTTCATCCTCAAAATAAATTTAAAATATTAATTTAGAAAGAATTCTATACTTATTTTAATTTTGACATTGTATTATTTATTGATGTATTCATTCATATTGGATCAAAAGTGTAAGAAGAGAATCAGTTTAAAAACAGCCACTGTGAGTGACTTTACCATTACATAACCATTACTGGTTTTCAACCAGTAGAGCTAAAAAATAGAAGATAGCAGAGTAGACTTGTGTTGCAAGGTGCTATAATTTAAAGAAAAAGAAAATAATTTGTGGATCTCAAATCTTTATGCCTTTATCCACGTGAAGAAAAAACAAACAACATAATTCACATGCAATAAACTGAAGTGAAGTGACACAGTCAAATTCGTCCATGCTGCGGCCCCATGACTACCATATCTTCCCTGCCAACAGCCTCTGAGACCAAGCTCAAATCCAGGGTAACCAGAAAAAGAATTCAAAGTCCTTTACAAGTGTTTTGTGTAGCTGCTGCTACATGTACAGATTTGGTTCCCATTTTTTACTTTAAACGTTTAGATGAAGTACAGTTGAACTTCGGTAACACAAATATATCTTAAATAGCATGGATATGTCCAAGTGATTAAGAAGTTGAAACCACTTAATATTAATTATGGAGATGGAGCTAACAAGATTTGACTGTACATGATTTATCAGACCTGTGTATGAAGGTATGTGTACTATGTACACTTCACTCGGGTTTGTGCTTCAAATCAACATGACCTGTGTCTGAGGCCTGTTCAATAGAGGGAATGTTCGCGAGCGCTCGCCAAAATTCCTTATACCTCCAATAGAAATGTTTGCGAGCATTTGCTCTGTTGAACAAGCCTCTGGTCTATCACCATGGTATAAAGAGATATGTCAATCTGTGGCTATATAGTCTTTCAATATGATATGCAGAAATGAGTCCAACTATGCCTAGTCAATCAATACTTGTGATGGACTGTTGTATTTATATAATATTAATGTATCTGATTTATCAATACCATGAACTATGAAAAAAATTTCAAATTCAAAAATAATACAAAAGGCAAAATTAATATGCAAAAAGTATAATGCAATGCAGACTATGTTATCTCCAGAATAAAAATTTTTGTTTTAAATTAGTTGAAGATATTTTCATTTTAACATTGAAATCACAAGATTGAAATTTAAATGTGATATATGTATCTGTCCTGCTCAATGTTATTAATTTATAATATCTTACTAAGAAACAATATTAGAATTCTAAACAATCTCAAGCACATATTAATCATCATTTCTACTAAATCATTTGCATTGTTTTGGTTTTTAGAAGCAATAAATAGGTGGTGCTAGGTTAACTGGTTAGAGAATCTGATTGGCTGAAGGTTTGGTTGTCATGGTGACCATGAGTAAACTGGTACCCTGTTCTCCTACAGTGAAGCCCTCACTGGTTTCCAGATTTCCTTCCTGTGTTTGATTCTGATCTTCTATGAGACACAAGAACATTCTTTGTAATGAATTTCAGGGAAAACAATCTACTTTATGTACACAAGAACACATAGTCTACATAATAATATACAAGACTAGTATGTTCTGATTTCTTGAAATGAAATGTAAACATCAACTGATCAATAGAAGCAGCAAGCAACAATGCATACTAAGCAGTTAACAAGGTAGATCCTGGTGTAATGGAGAAGACAGCCTTCATGAAATCAGTATTTTACAATTTAAGAGATCAAATATCACAGACAACATTTTAAAATTCCCATTATTACTTGAAAAACAATAAACCTGATCTACTAAGTAGAAGAGAGAAGTTCTTATATTTAAAAAAAATACTCTGAGATGGTCCCTGAAATATAGAATAATAGGTTTTTAAATGTCACCCCTTTACTTACGTGGATCCATGGTAGTGAGTTCCTGGGGGACTGGGTCATAGGACCGGTCGACTGCTGCCCTGAAGCTGAGATTACAGCCCCTCCCCCGCCCTAGCTTGACCCCGCGGTGGGAATCCTCCTGACTCTCGTGGGAGGCGTCCAGACTCTCCCTACTCTCGTCCGTGTCCCCCGGCGCAACCTGAGCCAGATTCTCCAGGGAGCTGAAGCGTTTCAGGTTGGAGTGGGGCACATCAAGGGGTTTGTCCACTGCGGGTAAAAGAGTTTAGCAGACTAAATACACAGTGTTGTCATGTCATGATTTAACTTTTAATTATACTGCTGTTCATTGGCTCTTTTGAAAACTACTAGGTTTTGTAATGCATATATTTTAAAGGAATGGAAATGAAAAGTGAAAATTTAGAATGTTTAAAATTATACTTTGAAATTCATTTTATTCTAGGTTTTGTAATGCATATATTCTACAACAAGAAAATTAAAGGAAACAAGATGGAAATGAAAAGTGAAAAAATTATTTTTAGATATTGATCACAGTCAAGGTCAAGGTCATTGATCATTGTCATTCGGCTACCATCTCCTATGGTTCAAAGAGAAATTTTTAGCATTAGGTCACAGTCAAGGTCACAAGATCATTGACTTTGAAAGGACTTTATCGGTGGAGTATGCATTAAAAAGTTATGACAAACAGTGGAAAAAGCTATTTTTAGCATATAGGTCACAGTGTAAATCACATTCATTTGAAAGGTTATTTTTTCTACCAAATATGAAGTCTATATCTACAACAAGAAAATTTAGAACCAATGAGAAAAATTTAATCCTAAATAAACATGTCCCAACAAAGAAAGTTGTTACTAGTTTTCTCTAATTTAAACTGAATCATAAGAATTAGACTGAAATCAATACTTGTCATTGGTTAGTTTATGATTTAGTTGTTAATTAATCAAAGCGTTATTGATCATTTATACAAGAAAAATTTAAAAGTACTTGTCAGTTGGTTAGTTTATGCTTATGTTGACAATGTTGATTAATCGAAGCGTTGTAAAAAAACAAATGACAGTGTTTTTTTTTTCATATATCATGTATATTAATTAAAAAAATAACTGTTATTTCATACAGATTTAGCAAAGCCTTATTCTTTTCAATGTCAATAATACTATTTTGTATGTCTAACACAGTATTATAGCTACCTAAATGGTCTTACTTATACTTTCTTATAAGTAATCGATTTATCCTCATTGTTTATCTCATACATTTCAATATCACTAAAAGGATTACAGTACTATGAAAATATGTCTTTTTTTCAACTCAACATAATCCATTAACAATGTTAAATATTCAGTTCAAACATGCTTACAGTAACTCCTGACTGATCTAATAAACAACTTAGTCAGTTATATAATTCGTACTAGTCTAAAGTAAAACTCGGTTTAATAGCAAAGTCAATGGGACCTATGAAATTACTTCGCTATAATCATAATTCGGGATCCACAATAACTTCCCTATATCATTCTGTGAATTGCAATATCCATGTTCATACTAAACGAGTTTTACTGTATTTCCTAGTTGTCCATCTCTAACAAGATTATTTAGTACATGACTGTTAGTTTTGTCACACATGACCTATATTTACTGTTAACTGGGTCAATTTTTGTCACACAGAATATTAGACCACAAAGTAATGTTAAGTACTATCATACACAAGGGGGTCAACAGTCATCACCAAAAGCTTATGACCTAGCTGTTAGTCTATAAAACTTCATACAGTGTATGTGGACAAAATACTTTGAAATCACACTGACATTTTTAAGACAGATCAGTTTTTAATATTCAAGGAGTTTTAACACTGAATTCAGTTAGGCATTATATATGTATTTAAGGAAAGTTCAGGATTTAGATACCACTTTGCTTTAATAATTTTGGATAATTTGATAAACTATCTTTGGATAATAATTTCTAAAGCATAAAAAAATATTTTTATCATTTACGAGAATATAATTTTAATTTGTAAACCTTTGGCCTAGTCTGTTGATAACATGATAGCAATATTATAAATATTTTTATCGTCTATGATAGCTAATTTCTATGTGTAAATTTTTAACATCTTTTAATCATGTTTATGGCAATATTTTTTAAAGAGTGTAGATTTTTTAAGAATCTATAACTTTTAAGCAATTTTCTGTAGAATGATGTATCTCAATTTGTTTTAACAGAAATTTATGAATTAATTGCAAAACACCACATATAACACACGACTTCTCTGGTGATAACTGTTAAGGAGAGGATACATACTAATACGCTGGCCATGCTTTGGTAAGGGAGGTAAGCGTGACGTTCGGGGACGACTCCGGGAATTCCGACTCAACAGAGACTCGGCCGACCCGACCCTCTTCAGACTTCCTGTACCTGTGCTGCCACCTACAGTTATAGTTCTACATTATACTGGAGGACACTAAAACATTCTGGTCTGATACTCTTTTCCTTAAAAAAAAATCTTGTCATTGACAAGAGGAATCCTTCCATATGTTCCTTCTGTATCACTGTTCAGTGGCCAATCAAATGAGGTGTTTGTTATTTGGCCAATCAAATCACAGACAGAGGTTTTATTTATGTGACCAATCAAATAAGATGTTTGTTAAGCTTACCGTTTCCTGAGGTTCTGTTCTATACTTTACTGTTTAAATGTAAACATGAAGTTAACCCTACCACCAGTAGCTGACTTGAATCAAATCACATGAAGACAAAAATTTAGGTAGACAACATTTTACAAGATTCTTTTTGGAGAGAAGGGGGAGGGATATACCATTTCAGGTAACCATACCAAACATAAATGCAGGCACTTGCTACATAAAGACCACCTAAGCCACCAACACACCTGAATATCCAACCACAGGGGCATCCTATCCACTCTGTTCTCCATTACATAAATGTGTAATAGAGGATAGAGCGGGTGAGATGCCTCTGTGATTCAACCTTGATCATCTTAATTTGAATCAAGCATATTTTTTAGCACTTTTTTTTCCCCTTTTAAATAAAAAATCATGCACTCACAAATTTATAAAATTCTGAATGTTGTTAAAAGTCAAAATTGTGCATTTGTGCGAGATTATATATTTTAAACGGATATATTCTGAATAAACAATCCCATGTAAAAGTAAGCAAATGATATTCTATAGTCTGTATCTAGTATATCAAAAATGTGCAGTATATTATTTAGTACAATTATCAGTCACCATTGGACTTTCAGTAAGGCATGTCATTCTCAACGTTTCATTAATTAGTGGAGATTTACATAGTCTTTCATTTACAGTTGGGATAGAAATGCAGGTGAATGTCAACAAGTGTAGCAATGATCCAATGACAGTATGGCAAAGAGGTAGGACTCAAGTCGAATCATCGTTGTCAACAACAATTCAAAGTTGCTATTGTTATTCATTTCTTATCCAATGAGAATCTATTGGCCATTAAAGAGACGTTAATTAAATTGGGTTGAGAATGCCATGCCTTACTGAAAGTCCAAGGACAACAGAGAATTGTACTATCAACTGTGCAGTAAATCACATTTCCAGATTGTATAAAATTTGAGGAAAAAAATGATTTACATTAATTCAAGTACAAAAAAAAATTATAATACACAAGATCGATACTGTACACTAGTATACCTTCCAAATATCACTTGTGGTAGGGGATTATATATCTAAATACAACAAATGAAATGCCACTTTTCCAAGCACTTGATTAATAATTTGATTTCCAATGTACAAAGTATTCTGTGCTGTACGTAGTGCCCTATAGCTGTTTCAAAGCAGAATCTTGTTTTAAATAGGTTATTAATTTGATGTAACAGATTGTCACAGAAATTTAATGTTAAAAAGATATTAAAAGCTAGAAATAATTAAAATTTAAGATTTTAAATTTAATTTTGAAGATAAAAAAGAATTGAAAAAACAAAGATGCCAATGGGACACAATGCTCACCAGATGAACCATTGTTAGAGATATCTCAAATCTGCCTGAACACATTTTTCAGGGGTAGGAGGGGGTTAGGGTAGGGTGGGATGGGGGTCTTCAACCCCTTGACATCAACCCAGGCTCTCCCATTCAAACCCTTCTATCAGTTAACAAGATTTCAAGAATCTTTACTTATAAGGATACTATTAACAGTATATGACTATATATATGGTCCTGTTGTACATGTTGTACATGTGGCAAAGGTGATTAAAGAGTTTTCTCATTAAGTTCTACATATTGTTTTGTAGTGCAATCAAAGCCTGAAGGGCTATGATTTGAAGAAATTTGATCTACACTAAGAAAAGAAATTAACTTTCATGTATATTTTATCTCTTCTTGCACCTTAGTTTTTAGGTTTTCACCATTTCCTAATAACCGTCCATTGGATGGGTCTTGGACTTCATTTAAACAAATGAATCACCAAATTACCAAAGAATGCTTTGAGGGCAGTTTAGATGAAATTGGACCCACGGTTCTTGAGATATCAAAGATGTGAGGAGCAGACAACAAAAGGACAAATGTTGATCAAAAAAATCAACTTACTCTAGGTGAACTAAAAATTTTCATTAATATAGAAAAAAATAGGTTATACTATGAAATAAATATTCTAAGTTGTTTAAATGATTGAAGATTTTTGTTAAAAATTAATCATAAATTTCAAAAATGTTAAAATCTCTTCCCAAGTCATCTAGGCCATGTTTGGTAAAATAAATAGAAGCCATTTTGTTATTTGAACAGTTTTGAAAGCAGAGGATGGCTGTGTATTTTACCCCCAATTAATTCAGTTTAATAAATGATTTTTATAAAAAAATGGAAAAGCTCATAGATCCCAGAAGATTAACAAGATTCTGATGATTGACACAGAATGTTTTACCGGTGACGTGAAATGATGCAGCACGCCTATCATGACCTGCAAATCAATCAGCATTGTTGTCAACATGTCAAACTAAAACATTAGTTTTATCTTTAACTTCCTTTCGGTTACGAGTTTGGTTCTTGTCAAAGTAAAAATCTAAGAGTGAATCAAATACTGTAAATCAGATGCCAGTAGCCGACATTAAAACTGACCTTTTTGTCGGCTGGATTTGACGCGTTGATATACTTCACTTCGACTTGGGTCAATATGACCTTTCCGTTTCTCAGACATACTTTGTCGTCCAAAACCTTCACGCTTGAACTCTCCCAAGGGACTGGTGGGCGACCTGAAAGTTGAAGAAATCAAGATTTACATAACACAATGCTAGAAATCAGAATATGCCTCATTGATTCATAGGCTACAATTTACTTTGAACAAATGAAATTATAAAGGTTACCATCTTACAGGAGTTTGTTAGGAGCATAACACTCTTTAAAAATCTTCCTTGTGAAGATCTAATTCTTCAAACCATGAATTCTCATCACTTAATAAATATGAATATTTTAACAATTCCAAATTATTTATCTGTATCCCATTAAAAAAAAAACTGCTATGTCTATGAGATGACTAATAGTATCTCAAACACTGATATCTTGAATTATGGATATGACGAAGAGATTTGGATCATCCTAAAACCCTAAATTTTCAAGTATTTTATCCTGGAGAGCTGGAATCCTCAGATATCTCAAAATTTTATCTCCATCTCCTTGAGTTTCAGGTAACAAGGTTTGACTGTATTGTATACTCAGTCTGTGAAATCACCAAGTCTCATGGAAGTTTATTTTTCTTGTTTTTAAGGTATGAAGAGACCCACGAATTCATGTCCACCACGAAATGTAAAATGTTACATACATAATTCAACAATTCTTCATCCGTGAAAATTAATTCCCACCAACCAAGAGTTTTTTCTCAAACCAAGAAAATATGGCACCATAAAAATATATGATTTTAGAGTATATCCTAGTGAATACAATATTTCTCAATATCTTCGTGTATAGTTACATCTTCTACTTACATTTCCTCCCCTCCCGGGCTGACAGGCGGCCCCCAGTCCCCACCCTGGAGCCACACGGGCTGCTGGTCTAGTTCCTCTGAGCTAGAACTGTTAAAGTGGTGGTGGAGGAACCCAATAGTAGAGTGGGGCCGCATCCTCTGTCTGCTCTCCTGTAAAGAAACATGGCTGACAATTACGAAATAGTTCTGGAAGTGATGGGAAACAAAATTGACTGAGAACTGGGGAATGAAAACAGTCCTGTAAAGAAATCTGATAAACAACTATAAAACAGTTCTAGGAGTGAAGGAATGGAAAATGATTTCATAAAGAGGAAAGAAAACAGTTATAAAATAACATACCAAATGATGTAAAACAGTGTTATGTCAGTCAAAAGCTCTACAGAGCTTATGTTAATTGTTGTAATAATCCAACTGTAGTTGCTTTTCAAAGACAGCAATTCTGAATTACATTTAAATTTATTAAAATCTTTAAATGATTTTGCTCAAAGAATTCTTACCGCCTCTTCCTCGTCATTCTCTATCATGACATTGGGACCCACTAAGGGTGAACTCTTTTGCATGGGTTTCAACGGTGAAGTTCCTGGTGACAATATATTCCCGCTACCTTGTAAAGCAAAATTATATGACTGGTTCCGCAGTCCTTCATCCTGATCATGTGACAAAGCACTATCGTCCATTTCATCTCTGGTGGCCTTCGTGTATGATTCATTCCTAAGTCCCCCATTCGTGAGACGTTCGATTAAGAAATTCCTAGCTTTACTTCCCCCATCTAAATAATCCAGGCCTCTGTGAGGCTCCAATGGGGTATCACTAGTTTGTCTGTAAGAATCTATCAGGTTTTCCTTCGTTCTTAAATTTTCCACGTGGTCTGTCTCTCGGACCATTTTATTATTAGCACCGAAAACAAAAGCATCATGGGAAGCCTCCTGAGTGAACGGGGAGGGGGAAGGGGCTCCAATTTTACGGGCGACAACCAGATGAATGTACCCTGGGATGGGCCCCTCCATCTGCATTGCTTTCCTTAACATCTCCATGGCCTCCGTGTTTGATAGTCCCATCAGCTTCTCATTGTTTACTTCTATCAGTTGGTCGTTTACTGCAAGCCGGCCATCCTAAGAATAACCAGTTAGACTTAGACTAAGAAATATCAATCAGACTTACTACATAGACATTGCAATGCCAAGAGCATAAAATATCATAGGAAATCTTAATAAATTAGCTCTCTGCTTCTTCTGTTCATGAAAAATTAATATCTCGAGTAAATACAACTGAATTTTAAAAATTAATGAAGATTTAAAAATAGGAAGGAATTGAGCATATTTTTTCCATATCAGAAAATTTACATTTTGAGGTGTGGAATTTATTTTTTTTGTTCAGTTCCTATTGCATACTTTTTCCCATGTTAATTTTTACAAAACAAGTTATTACTAATCCTTTGTAAAACAGTGTTCCAGTGTTTAAGATAGTTCAATTAATGATATAATTAATTTGCTTCACCTGACATTTTCTCCCATACCTTTGATGCTGCCCCTCCATTTATCACAGACTTGACAAAAATGCCCAGATCCCTGGTGCCTCGGTCCGTTGTCATGGTTTTACCCTTGACACTGACCCCGAGCCCCGCCGACCCAGAATCGGACAGTGGAATGTCCAGACGTAGAATCTCCTTGTTGCGCCCGGCAGTCAGCGAGCCGTCGGTGTCCCCCGATTTCTCTGGCGGCTGTAAGACAGGAGGGGGGTCAGAGACGGGAGCGTCTCGCTGAAATCGGGAGGGGGGCCAGTGAGTGCACAACATTAATACACACGCCAAACAAAGATCTACACAAGTTCATATTGTCTGACCCAGGATGCCATTTTTTTTTTTTTACTTCTTAAGGAGGCTGGGGGTCCACAACTTAATCATTAGATGTAACTCCATCTTTTAGATGTGATTTCTAAAGCTGTCAACTATCTTTTGGTAAAGAAAAATTTCATGCATTTTAGTTTTAAAATTTGATCATTTTTCATTTTTTGTATATCTTTATATGAAGCTCTTCTTCCAAAGGAGATCAATATAGTCTTAAAATGGACACCCGCAGCCCCCTTTAAGGGTGTGTAATTTTCTGCGCAAACATGATGTTGCAAATGAAAATTTATTTCACAATGAAATGAATTTTCAATTCTCTTCCTTTTTTTTCTTTGTACCCTGAATCAATAGCCAAATGAATAGTAAAAAGATACTGATATTCATTTTTGATAGACTCATGATTTCATTGCATCCTGGATATTCAACAAAAGGAACCATTTCTAACATGACATGATTACAAAATGTAAGTAAACGTGCCAACTCAATCAATCAGAGAAGTGTGTTTTTCACTCTTGTATTTTTTCAGTATTTAAATGTTAATATGCAAAATCAAAACATCACATGTACATTAACATTTTTTTCTTCAAACATTTGTTTTTAATGAGTGGGAGAATAAAGATTTTAAATCTTCCAATAAGGAAGCATAGGGGACAATACACTGTGATTAAACACACACTGTTATTCATATTTAGTCTTCAGAAAGCACACACTTTTCTGAATTTCTAAGAACCATGCATGATTGTTGAATAATTCAAATACACCTGACTTTGTACCACAAAGAACATACAGACAGCATGAACTGAAATAGTTTTAACTTTACTACCTCATCAATCTAACATCCAATATGAATTAATCTTACCACCCACCCCACCCCACCCCGACCCCCTCAACACCTCCCAAAATCATCAATATGTACTTTCATAAAACATTTCAGCCCTATATTTTTTTTTTATTTCAACAGATTTCTAATCATGCATGGTTGTTGTCTTTACTAGCAATAATTAAAAATTATAGTAAATAAATTCTAACTAACTACATAAAATAGTAATATTAACTATGGGAGATATGTATACTGATTTTACTATAAAAGTTTGGGACAGCTAGCATTACTTTATATGGTGTATTTGAAATCAAACAAAAAACATACACAGAATATGCTGAATAAAATATCATATAGAAATATACATGTATATTCACTAATACTAGGTATGCTTTCATTATGCAGTCTATGAGATGAAATATAGTTCTACAGAGATAACCAAAAAAGAGAGAGAGAGAGAAAGGATGATGTATGAAAGAAAGTGTAGAAGGCAAGGCAATTAAACACTGTCTAGCAGCATTACAAAATCACCCCCCCCCCCCAAAAAAAAACCCAATAGTTCTACATATTATAAGAAAAGAAGAAATTGATAGAGTCAGTGAACAACCTTATATGTACACATGATAAATAAAATTTATTAATTATGTGTAAGATGGAAACTGATAGTGAACAGTTCCATACACATGATAAGTTTATTAAATAATATGCATATAGTATATTGAAGATAAGGCTGAGAATTAATTCCACACACAGTCACTATTATTTATTCAGAAAATTGGTTAGCCAATTAAAAGCCTTGTTTAAGGTGAGATCATAGCCACTCATGAGTCAAGCTGAAGTCAGTAAAAAACAGACAGAAGCACACATCACTGGGAGACCAGGAAAGAGGACCAGTCAACAAAAATATGAAATTGACCAATCAGAATAAAGGACAAAACTACACAGGAAGTAGAAATATTTACAATTCTTATAGGTCTGACATTCATTATTTCATTATTTAAAGCCATATTACACTTGAAAACAAGCAGCTAAATTTTCTCCTTTATATTAGAAAGTATGCACATCTCTAGATTTTAGTATTACTGTAAGGCAGAGATAAAAATTGAAATAAAGGCAGATATTCCATTCCTTTTGACCTACCAGCTCTCGCAGAATTTAAATTAATGCCCTCCCTCTTGACTTACCAGCTCTCGCGGGACTTGGAACTTTTCGTCCACCACCTCTTGTCGTGATATCACCAGCTGTACTGAGCTTCCCATGGGGGCATTCCTCAGCACAGAGACAACGTCAGCCTGGGTTTTCCCTGTCAGGTCTTCGCCATTTACCTACATCAATCATACACACAATAGGATCAAAACAAATCAAGGGTAATAAAGACCTCAGGTTCTCTCCATTTACCTACATCAACCATGGGCATCAAATTAAATCAAAAGTAATAAAGACCTCAGATTAAAAAATATCTGATCAGTTTTTTAATTTTTTTTTTTTTGCAGAATTGAATTAAATTTGAGAGATTAAAAAGAATGCCTGTGTGTCTTAAAACATCTATTTTAAGCCCTGCTTAAGAACTGTTAACTGCATGAGGAGAAATTTTTGCCCTTTTTGTCCTCATCACCAATGGGAGAAGAATGCACGTGTCATTAATAAAATACTTATCTCTCTTTTATCATAACTGTGTCAGGGCAAATTTGCTAAAATTGTTTTTCTGATTGATCAAAATTAACATGGATGAAATTACTGTACACAGGGGTTATTTTTGCACCATGTTATCAAAGAGTTATCTCCCTTCTTTATCATTTGTACCTCCAGCAGTCTATCTCCTGCTTTTAACCTTCCATCAGTAATAGCCGCTCCTCTGGGAAGGATGTTCTTAATATAGATTGGGGAATCCCCTCCAGCTGGGTTATCTCTGGTAGTCACACTGAAACCAAGGCTAACTGGACCTGTAGTGTAGAAGATAGTTAAATAAGAAATGTGTCTCATTTAAGTCATGTAATAATTAAATAAAATTTATGTAGAATACAAGCTTATCTACAAATTTATCTGTTCAAATCAACATCACAGTAAACTTCTAACCGAATTCCATCTCAATATTAGTAGAAAAATATACTCAATAAAATCAATCTATAATCAAACTTTTATATGATTTCCTTCTCAGTAAGTGTTGCTAGTATTAGATGAATTTTCACCTATGTAAGCTGTGATTTTCATTGTTGTTTTATTTTTAGTGTGATACTGTAAACCAACTTTTATTTGTAATAACTTTATTTCGCGATTTACCAGGAGTAAACTAGTTCACCATCATTATTTGCGATCAAGCCTTTCTTTGGGTTCTGTTGTCAATAGACTGGTTTGTGGCAAGAAATATTCGAGAAGCAAGGCTCTTGCAAAAATATCTAGCAAGTGAATAAAAGTAGTTTTACAGTATTTTGTTTACCTTTGATAAGAGTTATCTCCATCTTCTTGCCAATTTTCTTGGTGTTGGTGGGGGCCACCAATTTGCTGCGTTCCTTGGACACATTGGATGACAGAGTGGTGCCTGGATTTCTCGTGGGTACCGCGGGGGGCACCTTCTTTGTGGGGGAGACAGGTTTAGCAGGGACAGCTGGCTTAATGGGGGAGGGGGCGTACCCCTCAATACTACTGTTACTGAAGAGGGAAAACAAAAGATCAGTCTTATATGGTTCACAGATAGTAGGCATAGTTTTTCGTAAGCTATGCATTTTGTAGATCACTAAAAAAAAGTACCATAATGATTTTTCTGTATGACAATACTCTGCAAAAATGACATTTTTAGGAAATGATTAATTATATATCTTGTTCAAAGATAATTTGTATTATTACTTAATAAATAATAACGGATCCTCGTCCCTTTAATTGGAAATACAGAATTGGTGGTCACTATAGGTCCCCATCAAACATGTAATGCAATTCTAAATCTGTATGTACGTAAAGTATCTAGATATTAAGGTACTCCGATTCTCAGTTTCTGAAAATCAGGCATTGATTAATTAAAAATGCTTTCAAAAAAGAACCTTGAAGCACACTGAGAGGTATAAAATTTAATTTTCAAGGTTCATTTTTAGACTTTTTGAACTAAATCATAAATAAAAGAGTTATGCTTCCTGGCTAAGGATCAGAGTACCTTAAATCAAGAACCTCCACATGAAAAAACAAATCCAGGTTTACCTGTACTAATGACTTACCTACTATTTTGTACAGATACTATAGGGGTGCTGGTCTGCTCTGGCCCAGTGGGGCTGGAAAGGTCGGACTCATTCAGTCGGGGCGGGGGTAGTGTAAGGGGGGAGGGTTTGGCAGGGGTGTGGTTCTTTGGTTTTGGCATGACGGGGGGTGGAGGTTGTTTGGGGAGGGGTGGGGGAACTTGTTTTTTGATGATGCGCAATCTGATGTCATTGTCCCTCATGGCAGAGCGAAAAATGTCCTGAGCTCTACAATAAACAATGTAAGAAAGTCTGTTCTTATCATTTCATCATAATTGTCTCTATTCAAATTGCTGGCAATTTTCAATAGTAGGATATTTAAGTGTTTTCTGCCTGGTATTTGTATTCCAGACCAAATGTTATTTTAAAAAAAACTTTCCTTGATAATCCAAACATAAAAAAATAATTTCAAAGGAGATCAACAGTCTTTAGATCAAGGACACTTTGTGACTCTTTAATTTCAGATACTCAAACTATTTATGATAACTGAATCATTTTGTTACCAATTTATATGAATTGCACTTTTTGTAAATATGTTGTAAGTCTTGAAAAATGATTTAATATTTCAAGCACAAAAGTTGTCTCTTACTTGGAAAATGTAACTCCTACAAGTGTTTGTCCATTGATCTCAATTATGCGGTCATTTTCTCGGAGTCTTCCATCTTTTGACACTCTCCCTCCTTCCTCCACACCTTGTACCAACAGCCCTAGTTCTCTATAAATAATAACAAAATAATCTAGTTCTCTATAAAAAGTAACAACAACCCTAACACTCTATAAATATTAACAAACTTAGTTCTCTATAAATAGTAACTTCCTTAGTTCTATATAATTAAATAGCAACAAACTTATTTTCTATAAATAGTAGTTAGTAACAAATCTAGTTCTCTATAAGTAATAACAAATTAAACACCCCAAGGTTACCCCCAAAATTTTGCCTCAAAAAGGCAATGGACTTTCGGTGACCCCCAAAAACTAAAACGATTCAATGGTTTATAACACAGACATCACACAGGAAGTAGGCAACACAGTTATAGAATCGTCATTACTTACCTTCCTGAGTCGTCATAATCCGTTATAGAGTTAACTATATAAAATAGTATAGGTAACAAGGTATGTTGTTAGAGTTATAGAATTGTCATGACTCACCTTCCTGAGTCGTCATAATCCGGCACGACATGGATTCCCAGCGGTCCTCCGTCATTGGGTAGATGGATAAGAATACCACTGTTATATATAATAATTAACATTTTAAATTTCATTGAACGAGATAAAACAAGAAATAGTAAAGAATGCTTGATTTCTACATGAAGCTTCTGGTTCTTTTATAGGTGTGGTTAAAATAAAATAATATGCGGGTAGGGACAGAGAGAAGGCAGTAGGCAGGGTTTTATAGCATGTGAATTTACATGTACTGTACAACATAAAGAGCCTGAAACTGAGAAATTACTGTAAGAATTTTTGCATAATTTTAAGCATAAACACATTGGCATTTTTTTTTTTTTTTACAGAAGCATTGTTTTTACATGTATGCATACAAACCTGTGTGTGTGGTTTTCCACTTTTGAGTCGTTCCCTGGTTCTGTACTGGCTCCCCCAACTGGTTCCCTTCTCTCCATCTGTACAAATATCAACATAATGAAGCTCATACAACTTAATAATTGTATTTCCCCTTGTTACTACAAGACAGTACTTCAGAGGCATAAAGTAATAAAGTGGGGTTCATTCAACTTGAAACCCCCATAAAAATGAATAGAACCAATACATGCAAGAAGATGGAGGAATATGTGCCATTTTTCCACATTCTGATGTATAAAATCTCAAAAATATGTCAATCTATTTCTTTTTGTCATTTTGACTTCTAAATTTTTTATCACTAATCTCTTTGATCATATATACTCTCCTGTCATATGTTACACCATATCATCTGTTTTGATCCCTCTCTCAATTTTGTCTGCTATCTGACCCGGTGTATCGGGCTGTGAAGGTTACCACCTATGTAGATCCACCACTCCATTATCTTACCTGGTGTATGGGGCTATGAAGCCTTTCTTGCTGCCTCTCCTGAGCCTCTAACCATTTGTACATGTCTGGTCGGTTACCGAGCGACTGCCTCCAGTTGTCACGGGAAAACCGACTGATGGAAGATTTCCCCTTATCACCAGAGGGCGCCATTTCCTTTTCCACCTCAAAGTCCTCCAAATCAGAGGGCTCCTCAGCCTATAAAGATCAAAATATAACTCAATCATAATGAAATCACTGGGACCTATAAAATTACTTTGCTATTTCCATTATTTGTTATACATGTATCCGTAGAAGGAATTCATTAAAATTATATAGCTGGGGATCCAGGATAATATGCTATGTCTGTGAATTCACAATATCCATGTTCATGCTGACTAGTTTTGTTTTATAAAACAAGTGAGGAAAAATCCTGTTTCATTTGATCCTAGATATCTGGAACTTTCAAAAAAATTCAAAACCTTTTGAAAATTGACTCAGTCTTAAATTTCTCATTTTTTGTTAGAGAGTATAAAATTGCTTATTAATTATTATCTTTAGCATATTCAAAGTTCATCACACAAACTTTTGTAGTCATAATATATTAAACAATAATGTAATGTATACATTTCAATGAAACGGGGAATTAAGCATGCTATTTTCCATAGGGTCATATTTTCTGTGGAAATTTTTGTGGTTTGATTTCTGTTGAATCCGCCGGTAAAAAATTGCTGACTATAGTTATATATGTTATATTATATTATTTTACATTTCATGGTGGACATTTATATTACGTATGCCTTGAAAACAACAAAAATTCAGTGGAAAGTTTTTCACAGTACAACATGTAACATAATACAAAACACAGTAACTGTATCAGTTTTTGCGATTTACGGATTAGCTAGTACCTTGAAATTGAATGATTTCTTAAAAACAATTTTTCAAAAGGCGGATTTGGGTGTACAAGTATTTTTAGTTCAGTTGATATCATAATACAGTAGACAAAGTGTTGTAGATTCCAAGTACGGAATGTCTGAGAATGATCGATCCAACTGCTAACAATAAACAGCAATCTCTCCAAGTTAATCTTTAATTCTAAATATACAGGGTGACCTTATTCTAATTATAGATATGTAATTACCTGAAAAATGAGAGAAATGATTAGCCCCTGTGATACAGAAGTCACAGGGGGTTCAATAACAGAATGCATACCATGCTGGAATTTGGCTACCAAGAAATAACCTTCATACTCCATCTTATAATGTCTGGACCTGTCTGAGAATTGTTAAATTTTTCTGTGTTTAATCACTCAATAATCCAAATCCATCCCACAGAATTATAAGTTTAACACAGCAAAATTAACTCATTTTATCCCTCATTCTTTCCACATATCCATCAGTTCCAGCTAGCTTTTGAGCCATACATGTATATGGTTGGAATGGTTGAAATGCACAATTTTTTCCTAATTTTTTTTTTTTTCAATTAAAATCCATTATGACATACGATTTGGCTGCAGGTATCAAAGTTCACAGAACATAACATTTGTACTCTGTGACTGTCTCTTGCCGGGTCCTATCTCTAAATGTAAAACTCACAGTCTCGAGTTCCTATTATTTGACAAGTGACTTCACAATTAATTTAAACCCAAAACCATGATGATTTTCAATGAACTTTTTGCTTCCACTGATAAACAAATCATGTCCAAATAGACCTCACCGGCCAGCCTGGTAAGATTTGACAACTCCATTAAAAGAAGAAGCCGACATCCTAGTCTTAAAACTCATCACGTATATAAATCCAAACAAAGATAAATTTAATGAGGCAAGAAAATGTTGCATGAATGGGATTTATAAACTGTGTAAATTCACCCCTGTTCTATTGGTCACATGTTACAGTTTCATTGTAATGACATTTAAATGTCTGAATCCTCACAATTACAAATTCTGTAGTCCTCTACACATCACTATTATCCTCTAAAAAAATCCGAAAAAATGAAAACAATCCCTTTTCCTGAATTATATAATTACACTGCGTCTACAAATAAGGTGTATATTTAAATGTCCACAATCTTTTTCTTATCGTAATAAGAGGTACACACAGAAAAAAATCTGGCAAAGTTCCTGTAACTTCACTGTAATACACAATGTCCGTGCACTTCAGTGTGTAAAACAAAACTAAAGACGATTTAAAAGTGCCTGAAATCAGTTCCTGTTCAGTGAATTCCTAGTCATACAATGGAGGAATTAAAATATGTCAATGTTTTATGCATGTCAGCCTATTTGCCTTATAACTTCAATTTCCTTCTCAAGATAAAGAAAAAATCACACAGTATGAAATTTAGACCTAAAAAAAAATTTCATCAACTTCCAAATTGATTTCCTAGATGTGAAATCAAATAACCCTGACTTTCTCCTATCTTACAAAGCTCTACATGAAATTCTGCACTTTCTTTTTAATGAATTCATCCCTATCTTGTTAAGAGAGAACTCCTTAAATTTGTTAATAAAGGAATTAAAACAATTAAGCTTTGTTTCTCCTTCAATCAGTTAACAAGAAGTTTATCAGTTGCACCAATCTAATAAGATAACAGAATCAATCAAAGAAATTAAGACATTATGCATTACTTCCAGACATCATTTCCCAGAAACTCATATAACCCCTGATTTTGAAGTCAGCTTAGAAATTTTCCATGCTAATTAGCAATATCAGTAAGCCTGACTGTAGTTCATTAACATGATTAAAGAAAAAAAAAATCAAATACTGCATGGAAAGAAATTGGACTATGATAAATGTTATCCATTTTGTAATTCTCAAAGAATTACTAGAAAAAGAGCTTCTTTGGGTAGCCAAAATTGTGTAGAGAGCTATTTTTTGTAATAAGATGCTTGATCTATTGTACAATAGTTAATATGCCCTGTTACCTGAAATTCTACCTTTGTATGACCTACATTTATCTGCTTGAGTTACATGTATGTTGTTTGTTTACATTCCACTCTTATTTTCCTTCCACATATTATTCAAGGAAAAAAAATTGTTAGAAGTGAATGAAAATTTTAAAGGTTAAATGATAAATAGTTGAATTGTAAATAAAGGAAGTTATCATTTAAAGAATTCAATGTGTCATAATGTAAATGCAATTTATATGGCGTGTGCCATATTTGGTGGAAATTGATTTTTTTTAACAGGGTAAAAAAGATTAATTAGCACCAGCTCTCTGAAAGTGTTTTATGGAAATATATGTAAACATGACATTTAACGTTGTACTTGACCTCTCAGGAGATGCTCTCTAAGAGAGGCAAGCTATATAGTATACACAGTAAAATGTAATACGTTTATATGGTAAATCATAGGTGTGCATGCCTGTCCTCAGGTAATCTGTAATCACTGTGTGAGATTCACTAACAGACAAACAGACAAGTTGTTACATCATTTACAGTTTGAACTTCACAGTTAGATGATGAATTCATTTTCAGTATGGTCTTCACTTACAGTCAAATGATGAATTTGTTTACAGTATGGTTCTCATAGACTGGTCAACAAATGGTAATACTGTTTAGTTTTAGTTTCTCTGATAAACAAGTGGTTTTTCTGTTCACAGTCTGATGCTGGCTAATATTTTTAAAACATGTTTACTTCTGCTCTCAAATATATCCATCACATTTGTGTTAAAACAAGAAAGAATTCTGACTAAATACATGAAATAAGAAGAGAAAAACTTTTACCAAATGAAGCATACATTAGATCATTGTTACAGACTCTGTGAGTACATATATCAATACATACACATGTATATTATGTACCCGGATATATACATATAATTGAATCAGATTCTGTTTAATATAACAGACACTGAAGGATAAAATTTTGTTAAGAATTGAAAAGAAATCCAGTAATCTAGTTTCCAAGATATAGAACCAATACTGCCTTTTATTATACATGTAATAGTTTAATATATTCCCATGGATAATAAACTTTGATAAAATATAAATAGTAATTAACAATCCTTATAAATAATGTCTATACTTTACCACTGATATCAATGTCATCATGGAGAGCTGGAAAAGCCAGTATTAAGTGTAGGAAGCCATAGCTTCACTGTAAACCTTTTTTATTTCTGTGTCCTTTACTGTTTAAACTTTATTAGAGAATTTCTCTCAGATATTTCAATCACAATTGCTTATTACAGATGAAAATTATAATTATGATACTTTTCCTGCATCAACTTTATACTTTCCTTAATCATGTTCTCATCAATCTTCAAAATATACCCTTAGGCTTTACTTAATATCAATTTACTATGCATGGAGCTAATTTCTATGCCTGCAATATGTGATGTAGTGACTACTTTTAATTAGAGACAAAAATAGAGGTGAAAGTGAAGCATTCAAAGAGATTGCAGACTTTAAATTAGTTTACTTTCACTTTCATTTCTTTTACTTTCACTTCTGTATAAACTGGTTCCCTTTTGTAAACTTACTGCCTTGTTGTCCTTTTTATAGCCCACTGGTTTATCTCCATCCAGCACATTGAGGGCTGGCTCACTTCCATGTCGCACTGTCAGGGATGACCCTATACATGTAAATACAAATATTATAAACAAGCTGAAAGTAAAAGTCTTCATACTTTTAAATTAACTTAAAGTTTCTGTCTACATAAAAAAACAGGATACTTGTTTTCATAGAAAATATATTGATTTCCTTTTATTGTTACCCAGTCAATCTTTGAAACCTCAAATTCTATAGGGGCCAAAAAAAACTTTGAGATATATGCATGAGTATTTGGCAGGAATATTAAGGTTACAGAAAAATAGTGATTGAGACTTCAACCTTTGGGATATCAATGTTTGACTGTCATTGGTTCTGAAACAATTTGCTTATGAATTGCTCTTTTTAATCTTTAGCTGACAATATATAAGCCCTTAAAGCAGTGAAACAAGAGCAATCTTAACATCAAATACAAAACACTGACCATGTGTCTCAATGTCCCGCGAGGTGACCACTACATCGTGCTCATTGCTGGGCTGGAACACGGAGATAGTCTTGGACGATGGAAACTGACCAGTGGTCTCTCCTCCCTGGAAGATGTCCGGGCTTGCTGTTCCCGCCGAGCTCTGACTGGCCCCGTCTCCATTGTGTGGCTGGTATGTTTGACCCCCCTGTTCCTCATAGTCTGCTATCAACTGAGGACAAACACAGCAGATTGTTATAGATACAATATATTGCTTGTAGAAAAAAAGATTGCATATCAACAATTATCTACATTGTGAAATACCAAAAAATTAAATTTCAGCAGTATTCTTTTCATTTATGAGGCATGCAGCAATTTCAAAGAAAAAATAATTTTATTTTGGGCTACCAGTAGACTGTATATATATATATATTGCAGAATTTCATCATGTTCATGAACAGAAATTTCAGATGAATCATAAATTAACTGTTTACCTGTTCTCGATCATCCACGACATCATTCAGCTGGTCGTCCGGGTCTAAGATTCCGCCATCATTTATTGTACGTAGATTGTGAACTGACACCCAGTGGTCCAATGACTACAAAAGACAAAAGACACAAATAGGATTCCTTACTTTACAGACAACATGGCCAGCAATTCCAGCATCCTTTAGTTTGTTGTTTGATGAAAATTGTGAGATTTATTTCATGATTTATTTTTTTCTAATTGATTGGGCTTATTTGATAAATTCATAATCCTTCAGTAGAAATGATACTTGTTTTTATTTTGGTTTTTTTTTTTTAAGATTTAACTGCTTGTTTAACATGGGTAGACATTTACAAGTGATCTGAAGTCAAATTGTACAATGTAATAAAACTGTAGTATGGATCATCTACCTTTAAAGTTTCATAATTTTGCAAATTAAAAATGAAAGTGATCATTTACATGAGCAATCTCCATTATCTAACACTATAAAGAAATATACATCATCTACACATAGTCAAAATGACCCAGAGACTAAGGGTAGATTTAAGTGCAAATGCACTCAGACATCTTTGTTGTCCCATAACAATGTGCTGAAATAAAATGGTACGTCCTTTTATCCAATGGGGCTTTTGGACTAAAATATCTGATAAGAATATGGAAGAATGCAGCACACTATCCTTAAATACAATCACTATTTTCTCCATAGTTTACACCCTTGCAAACTTTTTATGCATACTATATACGTGGAAAATTTAGCAAGACACAAAGAGCTAAAGCCATGAATGTGCTAAATCGGCCTAATGATTTTAGGAAAAATAAAGTGAGGGGAAGAAGAAAATTGTTTACGGAAATATTATCCTTAGGTATCAAACTTGAATAGCTTACGCAAAAATTTTCATTTGATGACGTCATATTTGTACAGAAAACGTCTAAACACGTGAACTTTGCCACTTTTTATCAAAATTTAGCATTTTTTCGTCTTTGATTCAAATTTTTCCTGTGGCCACACCCTCTGAACAAAATAAAATTCACACCATTAAAAAGAAAATTAAAATATGAACAAAGAGAGTGTTATTTTATTTTGTTCGAGGGGTGTGGCCACAGCGAAATATTTAATTTTCGTTCGATTCAAATCTCTTTGCACCGACCACCAAAGTGGAAATAATGGGGGTTAACCCATATTAATTAAAAAGAAAAAAGATTCTATGTTGCCTTTGTAAATCTTAATTAGTTTTTAAATGCAAATATACCATTTATTATAAGTTATTTTGTGTTGTGGTGCAAAAAAAAGTACGAAAGTCTCTCGGAGTCTCTATAAGCATGATTGCATGAAGATGCAAATACTGAAATAATGGTGACTCATTACTAACCCAAGACTTTTTAATCAAGCGCAGCTGATCTAGCTTTACATTATAATTGATTATGCTGAAATATTTTTTTTTAAAATGGATACTCTTTCCCCCAAATCTTATTTATTTTACAAACAATGTATTGATGTTTTAGCTCCCGATCTCGTCTCCATGGTCACTTTGTATGTAATCAAAGGGAGATCACCCGAGAAACTTTATTGTCACCAAGTGGGAATTAGTCCTAGAATATATTTTTAACATAAACAATTACATCAGTAACAACTACCAGGATGTATATATAAACTGAAAATTATTGTTTAACCCCTTTACAAAACACAATATGTCGTGAAGTCTGCATCGACTGGCTTCATAAATGATAAAAATGATTTACGTTT